AATAGGCATTATTCTCATGTGCCAGAGAGCGAACAAGGAAGATCTAGGAGAATTATGTAGTAATCTGCAGTAGGCGCTTTTTGGCAAACGCTGTTCAATCACAATCTCTCTGGGATATTGATAAGACTGTATCTAGGTCGAAAGTCCAATCCATCCCTTATGAGAATAGACTTTATGAAAAAATGAGGCAGAATTTTAATGCGAAAGCAAATAAGCTGGCATAAAAATCTTATCAATTCCTGTGGTAGCATGTGTAGATCATTCAGCTTGTTAAAAAGGAAGATATGTTTAGCCATATTAATTCAAATAAACTAATTTATACTTTTATCTTATGCTAACCACTCTATCTGTTTGTGCTTTTTTATTCGAATTAATGCGTTTTTATGGAGATGCATATTTTTTTTTACAGTTTACGGCAAATTGGTATGCCTGATAATGGCTCTGCTTAGTCCAGTGGTCTACTTACTCAGCCTGGTTCTTGATCGCATCTTCGGTAAGAAAGGCGCTGGATATCACAAACGCGCGCAGCTGAAGGCTCTAACTGGCCTGCACGGACCACAAGCCTTTGACTTCAATAATGGTACTAATTGCCAAGCCAAATCCGATGTTAAGCCGAGTCGGTTTGTAGCGAAAATGTATTTAGCTTCAACAAGGTCCGTAGTGATGCTATCACTGAAGGCCAGTAAGAGAATGCCTCTTGTGACAAGTACCTTATGTCTCTCGATACTTTTTTACTGCTATCTATTAAATTTATAGTTACATGTCAAAACTATCAATTATGAGTAGATATATAAAGGAGATAATTAAAACCAAAGTTATCAAATTTATAGATAAGTAGAGTTTCGAGACTACCATAAATCAGTTATATAAGATGTATTCACCCTATTTTGTTTAAGGTGATAAAGGACTGGTTGTAGAATTTTCCCACAATGATAAGAGTAAAGCCGAACATTACATTGCATTTCTATAAGGAAAGCAATGCTATGTGAAATTCAATGGAAACGTCAGCTCTATTCAGCACTGTGGGAAAATTTAACTATCAGTCTTGCATAAGCCGAAACAAATATGGAGAATTTTTCTCATACAATTAATTGCTATAGCAAATATAGCTTTGCATCATCTACAATCCCATTAAAAAAATCTGATATGGGAAAATGCCTGGTCTTCCTTGAAATTGACATCCGCTCTTTGACCCAAAAGTACTTATGGAAATGTGGGATAATAATTAACGTTTTAGGATAATACGCTGTATCGTCTTTATTTGAGTCCCACTGAGTGCGCTGATGAGGTTCAATCTCCAGTCCACCATGGATTAGAATACCTTTGAGAAGCAAGGCTATGTAAAAATCGATGGAAACCAAATGGTCTATTAATATCACTGTGGGAAAATCCAACTACCAGTTCTTCCTTACCTTAAATAAGTTATGGTGAACACATAATATATAAAGTGGTTGAATTTGTAAAGAGTTGGATAGAAGAAGTTAGTGATCATGGTTTTGACAAATTTTCCACCCAAACGTAAATATAAATTTGTAAAAATTCTAACCTTTCGTTGAAACCAACCAGTGAAATTACCTGCATCAATTACGGCGTCCATCTATTCCGAGACTTTAAACTGGACAATACATCAAAAATGGAATGTCAGGATCCATGTGTAGAACAGGAGTTTAATATATCCTTATTGTAATCTTCTCAAATAAGGAATGGCATGTAGGACATATAGTATACCATTACACAGCCTAGAGAAGTTATTTTAAAAGTAAG